CTTAAGTGCACTTTCCATGTCTTTTCTCATCAAGTTTAAGTTATTTTCTATTTCACTGATTATCTCATTTATTTAATCTAGTCTTTGCTTAATTTCCCTGTTCAGTAACTAATTTTAACTGTTGTAAATTTCCACACTGGAATCTACATGTTATTGTTTCTAATTCTCTGCCAAATTTTCTGATATTTATTATGCTCATCCCTCTGGAAGGATAGTTTTATGTCTGTCTTATAACTCCAAAATCTACAACCTCTTATTTGTATGTTTCTATTGTTTGCTTATGTTCCCTTGACTCATTCTGAATATGTTCATTTTTGTTTAGTGTTAGACATTGCATAGGAAAACTTATGAAAGTAATTGAGACATAGGATGATGTTTTCGTCCTTCAGACAGGATGTGCATTTACCCTGGTGTTCAGTTACAGACACTAGTATTTGAAAATTATCTCAATATAATTTTAGAAATTATATTATCTCAATATAATTTTAGAAATTGAGGTAATTCACAGCTGAGCTTCTGTCTCTGAAATACTAATTTACTTCTGATTTACCCTTATCCCAAGAGTATTGCTCCTTGGGAATCTCATTGACACTAAGTGGAACTACCAGACCTTCTACACTGAAGATCCATGGTCTTTGTCCTCCTAGCCCTTCAAGGTCGTCAGAGCTGCTGCTCAGCTTCTCATTCCATAATTTTTTCTTTCTGAATGTGGAGAAGTTTCTGGGAAAGGAAGACCCTAAATATCAAGCTTACCTGTGTCTTCCTCCTTCTTTTGGACTATGTCAACTCAATTCTTCGCTGCAATATTAATTCTCTGATACCTCCAAGGTAGATATTTTTTTCCACAAGTGAATTTTTTCACCTTTTAATTTTTTTTTTTTATTTTGAAGATGTGGGGTACAATTCAGGGTTAGTCATACAAATGTTCATTATGCAGGTACCCTTGTTAATGAGGGTGCCCCCCACCCACATCTCCAGGCAGATTCCCACTACTGCCAATTCCGCCTCTGACATCAGCTAAGTCAGTGCCTTCAAACTACTCTTTTGAAGGCACCATTTACCTCCTTGTTAACACTTTCCTTACTTGGTATTATTATCCATTCTTTTCTTGAAGTTCTCATGTCCTTTGTCTTTCAAACACTGGGATCTTTTACTGCATCTACTTAATCTCCTCCTCACCACATACTATGCATTTATCTATGAGTTTATCTTTTACCTTTTTTCCACTTGTCTACACTACAGCTTTCTTTGATGGTCTCATCCAATCTCATAACTTCAGTTACCATTGTATCCTGTCAACTATTAGATGGTTCTTCTATGAAAATAGCCGAAATGTCTTAGTTTAATGTGACAACTCAGCCTAATATTTTAGATATCCAGCTTGATGTCCCTCTAGTCTAGTTCCTCTAATTCAATGCACCTGACACTGAGTTAATCTTGTCTCCCAATGAGTTTCTCTTTTTGTGCCCTTGTCTTTTTTTGTGGCACACTAATCAGGTACCCCTATGTGAATTCTCAGGATGACATTTTCTGCCTCCCATTTACTTTTTAAGCCTTCCTGCATTTTGATTCCCACACATGATCTTGAGACATTTCACATAATTCTTTTTTCTAAATCAAGCTATCAACACCTACCTTCACTTGAACACCCCAAATACTTCCTTCTCTGATTCCCAATTTCATTCTCACTCCCTAATCTGAAATCAATCTTTGACTTCTCATAACTCCAAAAGTGTATATACATTGGGGTGCTATTCTATTACTTGGTTTCACAGTCTCTGCAACTCTCTCTCTCTCTCTTTATACATATAAAATATATATAAATGTTTAATATTTTAAATTATATGTAATTACTTATTAATATAAATTGGTTAATAATTAATAGTTTATTCTTATGATTTGTTTCTTTAATGGATTGTCCCTTAAGGGAAATATCTCACTTATTCCTCTCCATAATCCCTCCCCAAACACATCTGACAATACTTTTTTTTAAAAGATGGCATAATATTTGTTGATTAAATGGAATATTGAAAAAAGAGCTACTGCTGGGCACAGTGGCTCATGTCTGTAATCCCAGCACTTTCAGAGGCAGAGACTAGAGGACTGCCTGAGCCCAGGGGCTCAATACCAGCCTGGGCAACACAGTAAGACCTCATTCCTACAATAAAAAAAAAATTAGCTGGTGTGATGGCACATGCCTAAGTTCCATCTACTTGGAAGGCTGAGGCATAAGGATCACCTGAGCCTAGCAGGTTGAGACTGTGGTAGCTGTGAGCATACCACTGCACTCCAGCCTGGGCAACTGAGTGAGACCCTGACTCAGAACATACACACACACACACACACACACACACACACACACACCCCACACCCCAATTAGTTTTCCTCCTAAAGTATATCTACCTTTAATTCCTTCTATCACTATTTCTAAGTTAACTTTCATAAATCTCAACTCAAGACATGTCACTTAGCTATTAAAATAATCAATGTTTATATTTTTCATAGAAAAAAGTTCAACTCTAGTCTGAAACAAGCAATTGAAGACCTAGCTCTAGCTTGCCTTTCCAAACTTATCCCTAAGAGGTCCATACTTAAAGGTGCTATTACACACGTCTAAAATTAAATAAGCAGTTATAGTGAAAATGATATTTCCTATATTAAGGGCTGAAAGCAAAAGGTACATTAAAGGTAACTTATTTCTATTCGGTGATAAACACTTGAACACTGTAATGTGAATAGAACTTTTATTTTTAAAACTTTCAAGGGAATCAGATCTATTTTCCTGCTGTTTCCAAGTCCTCAGTAACCCTCTGAGTGTGTTTGTATTCACTAAAAAGGGACATTTCTGTGGAATAAATCAAATAGAGAATTCAATGTTCTTTGCAGATCATTTTGGCCATGTTCCACTGTGAACTTTCTAGTCTGAATTTTCATCTTTCCTGGGAAAAGACCCACATGTTCCAAATCCTCAGTCTTTTCTCCACTTCTTAGTGAGGAACAGCAGAGCAAAACTGCAACGTACAGAATTAATAATGATGGGCATTTGGCAAGGTTCTCTGCTGGGAACCTAATCGCCAAAATAAGAGAAGGCAAAATGTGTGAGAATAACAGTTCAAATGTAGTTAATCCAAATTCGCATCAAAAATGCTGGAAAAAACATCGTAATAATTAACTGATCTTTTTTATCTGAGTGCTTCTGGCCGGGCATGGTAGCTCAAGTCTGTAATCCCAGCACTTTGGGAGGCCGAGATGAGGGGATTACCTTAGCTCACAAGTTCGAGAACAACCTGGGCAACTTGGTGAGACCTCATCTCTACAACAACTCAAAAAATTAGCCAGGCATGGTAGTGCACGCCTATAGTCCAGGTACTTGGAAGGCTGAGGTGGAAGAATCAACTAAGCCCAGCAGGATGACTCTGGGGTGGCCGTGAGTGTGCCACTGTGCTCTAGTCTGGGCAACTGAGTGAGACTCCAGTTCAAAAAATAAAAATTAAAAAATTCTGAGGCAGAGGAGAGAGCTCTTAACACATTTCTGTAAATACTGAGATGACAAATCTCATTCTCCAAGTAATATCAGTGTTACTACTTTTGGTAGCAATTGAAAATTCATGTTCATGCCAGGCTCGGTGGCTCAGCCTGTAATCCCGCGCCTTTGGGAGGCTGAGTTGAGTGGATTGCCTGAGCCCGCGGGTTCGAGACCCGCCTGGGCAAGCGAGACCTCATCTCTACAATAAATCAAAAAATCAGCTGGATGTGGTAGTGCGTGCCTGTAGTTCCAGCTCCTTGGAAGGCTGAGGCAGAAGGACCACCGGAGCTCAGCAGGTCGAGGCTGCGTTGGCCGGGAGCGGCCACTGCACTCCAGTCTGGGCAACGGAGTGAGATTCCGACTCAAAAAAATAAAAAGAAAAAAGAAAATTCACGTTCAATGCTAAATTAAAACCTTTTGAAGTCTATATGTTTTGTTCCTTAATGATTTTCCTAAATTTCCAAAATAATCAGAGTCATTATCCTCTCATTGGCTTTATGTTTCATTAGTCATTCACCTTACAGAATGAAATTGACCTTGGTGATAAATTCTAACTATTTTATTCATAGCTATCATGAAACAGGTATTTATGCTACATATATGTTAGCTTTTCCCTAAAGCCTGAAGGAGTCTATTACCATTTTCTACCGCTGATGATTTTTTCTGTTCTTCTACGTCTGATTGCTAAATAATGATCACAAAGACCTAGCACTTGGGTTGAATCCTATATGCTGAGGAGTTTTATTTGGACAATTTGGTGTAAAACATTTAAGTGAAGATGTCCAAGGCCCCTACACCTAGCAGAAAACAAATATTTTGGAATCCAGCATAATTGGTGTGATTGAGGCCACAGGTAAGAAGGATATCCCAAAAGAAGACTTGTATGGTCCAGGAAGACTTTAAGATTCACATGCAGAACCCTTATCAGGTACCCAATAAAGATTCAAGGAAGAAAAGTGTAATCTAGAATATGACAATGTAATTGACTATTAGTTTCTATTTGAGTATAAAAGATATTTGGTGTGATTTCCATCAAATTCTGCCTCCAGAACGTTCCAGCAAGACAGCAAGTGATACAGTCAGTAAAAACCCTAGCAGCAGTTCTTACTCATATCCTTGAGGTGAAACCATCCTATTTCAACATTATATCCTATTCTCATTGAATTCCTCATTTGCTCATGATGAATACAAGGTGTTTTTCACAATCTGGCTGCTGGTTTGATGCATTATTTTAGCAAAACACAGAGGAACTGCCAAGTTGGGAGAGTAACCTTTCCTAAATCACTCCAAGTGTCGCCAGGGCTACAGGCATATTTTCTTAAGTTGGTGTTGTTTTGCTTAAGAAAATATAAATTAATTAATATAAATATAAATGCATTCAAATCAAGTACACTCACATTGTACCGAGGCTTTATCATTTATCTTATAAACAAAATTCTGCCGTTATATACATGAATCACTTTCTTATTCTTAGGATCAAACCAACATGACAACCGCTCAGTTTGATTGTCAGTACTGCACAGCCTCACTTCTTGGGAAGAAATATGTACTAAAGGATGACAATCCATACTGCGTCTCATGCTATGATCGTATCTTTTCTAACCGTTGTGAGGAGTGCAAGGAACCAATCGAATCAGATTCCAAGGTAGGTCGCCTCAATTCACAGAATTACTGCATTTGAGCTGCAGATCAATGCTTTAGAATGACTTTTCATTCAGTGTTGACTTTCACCACTATTTCTCAGCTACTAGACATAAGGATCTTAAAAGCTACCATCAGTCAAGTTTCAGCTACTACGCTTAGCACTATAAAATATAACATGCTTTAATCCTTACTTGACCTTATGAGGTGAGTTAGGATGCTGAAGATGAAAGAGGTTAAGATATTTGCCCAAAGTTACACAGCTACAATATTGAGTTATTTCTGGAATAAATAAGGTGTAAATAAATACATCAATAACGGGAGGCATAGGACTCAAAAATCTGTGTTTTCTTACTTAAAAATTTGCCCCATCTCTACTAAATTCCATTGTGCCCTGATACCTCTGACACATACCAGCCATTTTTTCTACATGCTCATTATTTTTTTCCTTCCTTCCTTCCTTCCTTCCTTGCTTCCTTCCTTCCTTCTTCCTTCCTTCCTTCCTTCCTTCCTTCTTTTTCTTTTCTTTGGTTAAATATTATTATTTTGTTGTTGTTGTTTGCTTCTTTAGTTAAGTCTCAAAAAGTAACAGGATTTTGCCATCTAAAATTTAAAACATTATTCCACAAAAAATCTATTTTGTAGTTTCTAAGAAGAATGTAGGAAAAATTTGAAGAAATAGAGAATTTATTTCCCAGCTGACACTTTAGTGACCCATCAAGAAAGCCCCAGGCTCTAGCTCTTAATTACCCTGGAGAGTCTCCTCTCCATGGGTAACAGTATCAATAACAACTTCCCCTCAAGCTGCTAGCACAACCTACTGGCACAAAAATCCCAGGAGTGTTCAGTTTTGTCTTATAAAATGGCCTGTTTTGTTGCAAACAAATTTAATTAACTTTTATTTACTGTCTCGAAGGATCTCTGTTACAAAGGCCGGCACTGGCACGAAGGATGCTTCAAGTGCACCAAATGCAATCACTCTTTGGTGGAAAAGCCTTTTGCTGCCAAGGACGAACGCCTGCTGTGCACAGAGTGCTACTCTAACGAGTGCTCATCCAAGTGCTTCCACTGCAAGAGGACCATCATGCCTGGTAAGGTCTCAAAGGGGTCCTGTCTCTAACTGAAGCTGTGGTGTTTTTCCTTAGGTGCCAGCACGTGAGGACCAGCGCAGCTCACAAAGCCTGGCTTTGAGAAGGAGAAAGACATCTTTCTTACTTAGAAAGAAAAAGGTTGTTCATTCGTTATTCTTTTTTATTATTTCTTTTTTTATTTTAAAGACGTGGGATACAAGTTAGGATCGGATACATAAGTGGTCTACATACAGGTGATGTTTGGGCCTCCCTGGATTGGGATCATGCACTCTTATTTTGTGAGCACTCCTCCCTGGCAGTAGATTGGCGGTAGCCAATCCCTTTCTTGTAGTATTATGATACGTGTTCAGGGTCCACTTATGAGTGAGAACACGTGATACTCAGGTCTTCATTTCTGTGATTAACTCACTGAGTATGATCAACTCTAAACCCATCCAAGTAGCTTCGAAGCCCATCATTTTGTCGTCCTTTATGGCAGCATAACATTGCATCGTGCACTTATACCACTTTTTTGTATCCAGTCCAGTTTTAATGAGTAGCATGGTTGGTTCCATGTTTTTACTCTTGTAAATAATGCTGCATAAACATGCATACACACGTATCTTTCTTTGTAAAATGATTTGAGTTCCTCCAGGTATATTCCCAGTAGGGGGGTTGCTGGATCATATGAAGATCAATTTCTAGTTCTTTCAGAAATCGCCACACTGTTTAACAAAGTGTTTGAACTAGTTTGCTTTCCCACCAACTGTGTAGAAGTGTTCCCTTTTTGCTGTTTAACAAAGTGTTTGAACTAGTTTGCTTTCCCACCAACTGTGTAGAAGTGTTCCCTTTTTGCTGCATCCTCGCCGGCATCTGTTGTTTTTTATCTTATTAGTGATAGCCATTCTTACTGGAGTTAGGTGCTATCTCAATGTGGTTGTGATTTGCATTTCTCTGATGATTAATGAGGCTGGACATTTTTTCATGTGTCTGTTGGTTGTTCGGATGTCTTCTTTTGAGAAGTGTCTATTCATGTCTTTTGCCCACTTTTTAATGGGGCTGTTTGGTTTTTTCCTTTCAGCATATTTGAGTTCCTTGTAGATTCTGGATGTTCCTTTGTCAGATATACAGTCAGTAAATATTTTTTTCCCATTCTGTGGGCTGTCTCTCTGCTCTCTTGATGGCTTCTTTTGCTTTGCAGAAGCTTTTCAGTTTGATGAGGTCCCACTTGTCTATATTATCTCTTACAGCAAGGGCATGTAGGGTTTGGATCAGGAATTGGTAACATATTCCAATTTCTGTATGGGCATCTCCTGCATTTTTTTCTTTTTTGTGTGTTAGAAAACAGGATTTATTGAGAGGACAGAAAAGCTCCCACAGTAGAAGAGGACCCAAGGGGGTTGCCTGTCTCCTGCATTTTCTAAGACTCATATAGTTTGAGATTTTATGTTTAGGTCTTTGATCCATTTAGAGTTGATTGTTGTGGAAGGTGATAGGTAGGGGTTATGTTTCAATCTTCTGCATGGTCCGCAAGTTTTCCCAGCACTGTTTACTGAATAGGTTCACCTCTCCCCAGTGGTTGTTGGTGGAAGCTTTTTCAAAGATGAGTTGGTTGAGAAATTGAGGTTTTGCTTTCTTGATCTCTATCCTATTCTATTGGTCTATATGCCTGTTCTTGTACTGATACCAGGGTGTTTTGATTATTGTAGTCTTAGAATAAAGTTTAAAGTTTGGGAGTGTCATACCTCCCATTCTGTCTCTTTTTTTGTTTTTTGGGTTTTTTTTTTAAATGTTTAAGTATATTTTAAAGATATGGGGTACAATTCAGGGTTAGGTATACAAATGTTCATTATGCACGTATGAAGTATGACTCCCCCCCGCCCCGGGCAGATTTTCATTACTGCCAATTCCGCTGTCCCCGCCCCACCGGGAGTTTCCCGCTGTGGGTAATTGTTCAAGGTCCGCTTATGAGTGAGAACATGTGTTACTCAGTTCTTTGCTTCTGTGAAAGACCACTCAGTATTATAGACTCCAAGTCCATCCAAGTTGCTGCAAAGTTCATAATTTTGTCCTTCTTTATGTCTGTGTAATATTCCATTGTGTATATGTGCCATATTTTTTTTATCCAGTCCTCTTTCAGTTGGCAGCACGGTTGGTTTCACGTTTCTGCTATTGTGAATAATGATGCAATAAACTTGCCGTAAACAAAAAAACAGACAGTACCATTACAAAGTGGGTAAAAGATATGAATAGACACTTCTCAAAAGAAGACACAAGCAGCCAACAGGTACATGAAAAAAAATGCTTAGCTTCACTAGTCATCAAAGAAATGCAAATTAAAATCACACTGAGATACCACCTAACTCTAGTCAGGATAGCCATCATCAATGACTCAAAAAACAACAGTTGCTGGAGAGGACATGGGGAAAAGGGAGCACTTCTACACTGTGGGTGGGAGTGTAAACTAGTACAACCTCTGTGGAAAACAGTTTGACGATTCCTAAAAGATCTAAAAAGTGACTTTCCATATGATCCCACAGTCACCCTTCTGGGAATATACCCGGAGGAACTCAAATCACTCTATGAAAAAGATTCCAGCGCATGCATGTTTATTGCAGCATTACTCACAATAGCAAAAACATGGAACCACTTTGTTTCTTTTGCTGAGGATTGTTCTGGCTATATGGGATTGTGTTTGTTTCTGTATGAATTTCTGTATTGTCATTTCCATGTCTGAGAAGAATGATGATGTACTGCATTGGATCTGTAGATTGCTTTTGGTAGGATAAACATCCTAACAATGTCGATTCTTCCTATTCATGAGCATGGAATATTTTTCCATTTGTTTGTATCTTCTCTGGTTTCTTTGAGCAGTGTTTTGTAGTTTTTGTTGTAAAGGCTTTCGCTTCTCTGGCCAGGAAGATGCCAAGGTATTTCATTTTCTTGTGAGACTATTGTGAATAGGATTGTACTTTTTATTTGGTTCTCTGCCTCTTTGTTGTATAAAATTGCGACTGTCTTTGCCCATTGATTTTATACCCCGAGACTTTGCCAAAGTCCTCTATCAGTGTAAGGAGGTTTTTGACAGATTCCCTTGGGTTTTCCATGTCTAGGAGCATATCTCTGCAAACAGAGACAGCTTAGATTCTTTTCCTGTTTGGATAACCCTGATTTCCTTCTCTTGTCTGATTGCTCTATCTATAACTTCCAACACTATGTTGAACAGGAGAGGTGAGAGTGGGCAGCCTTGTGTTGTTCCAGCTATCAGGGGAAATGCTTCAATTTTCTGTCCATTTGGTAATACGTTGGCTGCGGGTTTATTGTAAATGGTGCTTACACCATCTAGATGGTATGTCAACTCTACACCGAGGTATTCCACATTCATTATTCTTGAATGGGTAGATTACAGAGTTCTTGTATTTTCATAAAGCCTATTTCATAGAAACATTTTGAAACAACACCTGAGCCATGGAAAAAAGGTAAAATTTATACCAATAACACAGCACTAAACATCCTGCCCTAGGCATAGCTGACGGCATCAGAAAGAATGGCTCCTCATGGAAGACTGAGGCCAACTATCGTTCTGTACTGCCATACAAACTGGTTTGAGGATCAGTCATGGTTATTCTCTCTTAGGAACAACAGGGTTTATGTAAATCATTTGGCTAGCACCAATTCTCTATATTTTGATCCTCTTCTCAGTCTTTGTGGATAAGAACATAATTCATTCTCTCTCTCGCTCTTGCTCTCTCATTTTCTTATTATGGATTCAAAAAATTTTTAGGAGGCCATAACTGCACAACATAAATCTTAGTACTGGTGCCCCGGGCATTCCTAATATGCCTATAATGATTATTATGGCCCAATCTATCTAAACCACATGCAGTCATTTGGAGTCTCCACTCTAAGTACTTTCGCATCTCCAAATTGTAGTTCATGCGGGGCTCAAAGGAGTTTACAGTGAAAGAGTGATTTGCCATCATCATGGCTGACCTCTATTAACCCTTTTCCCCCGCAGAGGACTGCTTCTGAAATTGATAACACAGTATTGTTCTATAAGAACAATTCATGTGTCACCTTATCTGTAAAATATATTAAGTAACTTTATATTTTCTTAAAGGAAATAAAATTATGCCTGACTTGTACTAACAGGTTTTTACTTTTGGAGTGCAGGTTCCCGCAAAATGGAATTTAAGGGAAACTACTGGCATGAAACCTGCTTTGTGTGTGAGTATTGCCGACTACCTATAGGAACAAAGCCTTTGATCTCCAAAGAGAGTGGCCATTATTGTGTGCCATGTTTCGAGAAGGTATTTGCTCATTACTGCAACTTTTGTAAGAAGGTAATTTTCTAAAGAGGATGAAGCTTATGGAATCTTTCAGACCACTGCTTTATGTCTAACCCATAGATTTGGAATGAACTGATACTATCATGTTATCTGTGCATTTATATGTCTATGTTAGTTTTTACTTCCAGCATGTCCAAAACTACTTAGCTGTCATGAGGATGACCATCTTTTTTCTTTAATTGACCACAGAATTCCACCGAGAACGTGAATTTAATATTCCAAACAGCCCAAGTGATTTGATATTCCAGTTTCATTCACTGCTTTTCATACAAGATGCTGCATATTCTGGAAGAGGGCACATGTCTCTCTGAATTCAGAATGTTTCTTAGAAAATATTTTTTAATTCAGTATTAACTCTTTCAGAGAATAATGGATTTGCCTCACCAGTGACTAAGGGAACCGATTTCAACAGAATGTTTAATTCTTCGCATTCTTTCTCAGCAACACAAGTGTCTTCTTGGTCGGAAGCCCTTGTATCTTCAAAGAATAGATTAGTAGGCTCAGGAGAGTGCCAAGATCAAGAGGGAAATTCAGTAAACATAAAGACAGAAAGAAGACCAAGAGCTGAAAATTTCTTCACTTCCAGTTCCAGAGTATCCCACAGGGCCTTCTGATTTGATTTTCCATTCAAAATACATTTTTTTAGGTGAAACAAGTAAATTTTTTAAAGTAAACTTCATCCAATTCCTTTTCATCCCCTAAACATTTATGTGAGAAAGTAACTTATGTCTAACACCTTGATGAAGACTGCCTACATTCTATGAAATATATATGGATATTCTTGAAGAAATCCTTGACCTGTGAGGCATCATAAGTTTAAAATGACACTATAAACTGTGACAAGAAATCTGAATCATGAAAACACATTGGATTAGGATAGTTGTTTCAAAATATTTTTGAACTGTGGGCTAGATCTCTTAAGAGCATTTGTATATTTGCATCAGGACAGTTGGAAGTCACACTACCACTTTCAACATATTCAAGCACACCTGTGTGCACACAAATATACAGCAATTTTTATGTGTATTACCAACACCAGTAATGCATTTAAGGAAGCATCAATACGCTATCCTAAGTTATAATTATTAAATTACATAATAACGATGACTAAGAATTGCAATTGGTAATAACATGACATGAAGTCCTCTTATACCCGTAGACCTCCAGAAATACAGACTTAGAAAATGACTTGACAAGTAGCAGTCAAACCCTATGACTTTGTGACATATAAAGCTCCAAAAAATTACCAGAGTGAATGACAGCTTTTAAAAACATGCTGGAAATAAAATGAGCAGTTTTATCTCACTGTTTGAAAGATAATTAAGGTGACCAATTTTAAAGCTTCATTTCTTAAAGACAAGCTAAAATAGTAATGAAACATGTGAGAATTGTCTTAAATTCATTTACTAGACACAATATAGTCTCTTTCAATGCTATAAGAATTCAAGAAGGAAACTTCTTAGTATATCAGAGCTGAATACTGTCTGAGCCAAAGTACTGGCATTTCCCAGGTTATGGAAGACTGTGACTATATTTAGGATATGATTTGAAGTCATCAAAAATTTACAAAATATTTATATTGGGTAGCAGACAGATTATGACATGCCAGATTATTTTCTATGTAATTTTTTAAAACCACAAATTCTTTAAGGAAAGCTGGATATAAATGTTTTTAATCAAGATACTCCAAACTAAGCAAATGTTTTCAACTCAAATCCAAAACCAAATATTTTTCTTAAAAATAGCAAAAACTACTTAAAAACCAGGTCCTTAGAACTTTTTTCCATAGATTTTATTTTGTTACACTAAAATTTATTTTCTACTAAAAAACAAGTGACTTCAAGCTACAAGTGTTTCTATTCCAAACCCCTCAAGAGTCAAAAAGAGATAAAGGTAGTTTTCAATTCTTCATCTTGTCACCTACTGAGCACACAATCATTATTGCCTCCATTTTGCCAGAGAAGAAACTTGTTCTAAATCCTGAGATCAATCAGTGGCAAAAAACAAGTCTCGATATTAGACTTCGTCTTAACCTTACAACCTCTTCAAAAGGAATATTATTATAAGCAAACTATTTTAACATTCTGGAATTTCTTCTTTCTAATTAAACAGTCTTTGGTGTATATATCAAGTTTTATTGCTGTGAATACATTTTTCCAAGTTTCAAATCTTCTAAGCATTGCCTGTTAATTATTAGACCAAACAAATCAAAGGAAACATGAATTCTGCTGTGCCTGCTATAGGCATTTGAAGTCAGTAGGGGGTATTTTAAATTGCTTTACTTCCATCACACCATTATGCTTCCCATTTACTTATTCAGAATAGTATACTTTTTTCCCCACTAGGAAAAATAACTTGTATAGCAAATATCTTTAACTTCTAAGATGTTTATAAGATTAAAAAATCTTTAAAACCATCATTTCAAGACTCTATGTCACAGACAAACATTTTTGAGTTTGCAAACAGTAAGCTGGTTTAAAATAAGCTCTGTTTTTTTCACTATTTAGTGAATTTGGTACAAAGGTTATAGGAACCATCTCAGGTAGCCCATTGCTTTAGTCATTGGGCTTTTTTTTTTTTTTAAGACATTTATGTAACACATTCCAGGTTCTACAGCAATGCCAGCATTGCCTAATATTGTATCCATATGATTCTAAATAAAGATTTCTCAGATTTTAAAAAGTATAATCCACGGATTAAATTGGGGGGAAAAAATATATATATATATAATCTTATCAAAACTAATTAGCATCTCTGACAAAACCTTGCCACATCACACCCTAATGCTCAGTTTATAATAGCCATTAATTTGAGTTCTGAACCCCACGGCACCCCATTGCTAAATGGAATTGCTTTCCAAAGGTTGTATTTTTTCTTAGTGTTTATTCATTTATTCAACAAGGTTTTATCAGCTGCTTATCCATGCAAGGTATCCTGGTCTCAGGATTGTACTAATGGTTAAACACAAAGGCTGTGGAGTCAAACTGTGTAGGCTTGAATCCTAGTTCTCTGTGGCCATAGCAAGTAACTTAAAGACTCTCGGCAGGGCACGGTGGCTCACGCCTGTAATCCTAGTACCTTGGGAGGCCGAGAAGGGCAGATTGCTTGAACCCAGGAGTTCAAGACCAGCCTGGGCAACATAGCAAAACTTCATCTCTACAAAAAAATCAAAAAATCAACTGAGCATGGTGGCACATATCTGTAGTCCCAGTTGAGCATGGTGGCACATATCTGTAGTCCCAGCTACTAGGGAGGATGAAGCGGAAGGATTGCCTGAGCCGGGGTGGCTGAGATTGCCATGAGCTGCACTCTTCTGATCATGCCACAGCGGCCCAACCTGGGTGACAGTAGGGTGTTAGTCCTTCAAGGGGAAACATAATGGTCTCTACCGTGTAGACGTACTGAGAATATTCAGAAGAGGTCATCTCTTAACGCAATGCTAAGAACTAGAAAAACACCTAAGAAATATTAGTCATATTAGAAAATGATGGTGGCTTGCCAATTTCATTCAGGGTTGCTACTGCTGGGTATTCTTGAACCTAGTGTAAAGCTTTCAGGAAAAATTTTTTTTTTCTTTTCAGCATCCTTGAAAGTTAGATATATAGATACAAGAACATAGTATCAAAGATAACGTTAATGCCAGATCTTTAAAACCAACATAACAAAAGTCAGAAAAATAAAAGGAAATGAAACAAAAACCTTCTTTTTTATTTCCATCTTCCTCGTCCAGTATGACTCTGCCTCTTTTCTGTCTCACTGTAGGAGAAAAATTAGAATAATTCTCATTTCAGTTGTAGTTAATCCTTTATAGCCTTTGGCTTCTCATTGATTAAAAAAACATAAACTTTTAAGGAAAAGAACATTCTAACACAAGATGATAGAGTAGCCCAAAGCACGAGTTGTAGACATAAAAGAGTCATGAAATGATCTGAATCGTAATGGCTCCTATGGTCATTGCCTTTTTTTTTTGCGATCTTTTGGCAGGTGATAACTTCAGGTGGGATAACATTTCGTGACCAGCTATGGCATAAAGAGTGTTTTCTGTGTAGTGGTTGTAGGAAAGAGCTCTGTGAAGAAACATTTATGTCCAGAGATGATTATCCATTCTGCTTGGACTGCTACAACCATCTTTATGCCAAAAAATGTGCAGGCTGTTTCAAACCCATTACTGGTAAGTTCGTCAGTTCAGTGTGATCATACCATGAGGAAGTTATAACTATGAAAAATACTATTTAGTTAATTTAGGAAAGGAAGTAAAAAAATGAAAATCTTTCATTTATGTTTTCTCTTGAGAGAAACACAAGTGGATGTCCATATGTAAATATAAATATTGCACAGACCCTTCAGGGAAAGTGCGGAGTATAATTTAGGTGACTGTATGCTGTAGAGGGTAATTACATACTAAACTTAGGTACTGACTCTAAGTAAGTAGCAGTTCAAGAAAGGAGGAGAACAGGATGACTGAGAGGTCAGAGAAGACCTTCATAAGGAGACGTGCTCGGAGCTTCATTAAGGATTTGAGTGGGAAGAAGAGCTTCTAGGAAATCAGTATCCTGCTTAATTCCAAAATACGGCCATGCAGCCTTAAGATGGAAAAGGTTTTAATTAAATACAGCTATTGTATAGAACATCTGAAACTGTAATAATTACAGTAGCATAGGTCAGGAATTAATTAAACTTCATTTTAAGATGCTTCATAAAAGTGTGCTATTCTCTTTTCTCTCTATTCACTTGCAATTATGAAGTGCATTTATGAGTACATGAAAGAAAACAAGATAGCATTTTGCTGAAGAAAAAATACATGTGACATGATTTGAAAATAGCATAATGATGAATGGATTCATGCTAAATAGGCTTTTAAAGTAAAGCAAAAAACAAAAAAACACGTATTTTCCCCGGTGACACTTCTAAAATCTTAATCCTGCAATAAAGAAACTGATGCTCCCATGACACTCGAGAAACCCATCAGCTATCCTTTTTGGCAGTTTATAGTCACTAATAATGTGGCAGAATTGTATTTTTACTCTCTATTTCTAGTATTCTTAGATAATATTTCCATTTTTAGTTCAATATAGAGTAGAATTAAAGATTATTTTATCCCTATCCTCTGCCTTCATCTTCAAATATGTAACAGAATAAAAGTTTAATCTTCAGGCAACCTCCAACCACAAGAAAGCGTTTCACTGCAAACCCCAGCTTGGTAGGCTTTCACTGACTTGTAAAGGGAGGGAGGGAGTAACTTGGACAAACAGCATATTCCTGTTTGTCTATACAGGGGCACCATGTTTGTCAGAATCTCACACTGGCCCACAGGCTACATCTGACCAGCAGACAGGTTGTTTGGCCTGCCCATATTTGGAAGCAACTAATGTGCAATTCATCTCTGCAACCAAAGGTAAATGAAGAGCCTGCCATGGATGAGGAATCTGCCTCCACATTTCCCAGCAGGTCCAACGTCATATAGAGCCAGTGGCTACCTCTTTGCATGGAGCTTGCCCTCTCTGTTCCTCATAACCTGTCTGTGTCAGTCAGCTAAGTCACCTCCCTGGCTCTTGCAAGGAATTGCATTAGCAATCCTAGACTATTGGGCTCCAGAGTCGGTGCTCTTCACCACCCTGCTGTCCTGCATTTGGTAACTCCTATAACCAAGAGGACAAGCTACCTTCTCTATCGATTTTAGTTAGAAAATGAAACTTTTAGGTATGCAACCGTACCTGGAGCTCCAGAATCATCTTAGCAGAATCTGCATTCTCCATCAGTTTATTATACAACACTTTTATTTAATTGGATCAGAAAAAGGGGTCTTCAATAAGAAAATTAAACTCAAAATGGGCTTCAAAGTTCTCTGGGAACCCAAGTGACTAATATTGATCTATAAAAAGTCTACACAAGTCCTAAACTTGAGTTTCAATTTTGAGCCACCACAGATCCATGTGGCTGTCTAAGTGATTTTTCTGATTGATTGTTCTAGATCAATCACTGAGTCCAGTTTTTTAAAGTTCAGATAAAAAAACAACTTTGTTTTGCACAGAAACATAAAGATGATCAAAAACAAAAGATCTGACCCAATACTAATCCAAATGCAGTATTATATATGTAACTTAAAAGAGTCATTCTGAAAAATATGTTTGATAATTACCTTAATCCTCTTTTGGCTTTGTGATTGAGGTACCAGAGACTGAAATACCTGTGATACCTTCCAACTCATTTTATTATTTCTTGAGCTGGTGGTTAAATAACTATAGGCCTGGGAGTAGTGCTTCTTTAAAATTGAACGATTTGAACTAATATACCATAAGGAATTCTGATACTGCCACATATTTATCTTCAGAAAGTTGAGCATTCATGTGAACATTAGGCCATCTTAAGAAGCAATGTTTTCTTGATTAAAGGATAAAAAACTTCTGTTAGACAAAAGGAATGAGTTCAAGAAATCTATCATACAACATAGGGACTATACTTAATAACCATATACTGTATTATATGTTTGAAAATTGCTCACAGAGTAGATTTTAAGTGTTCTCATCACAAAAAATTGTAAGCATGTGAGGCAGTGTTTTGTTAATTGACTTGGTGTGGTAGGTAATTTGATTTAGACATTTCACAATGTATACCTATATCAAAACATTATGTTGTATAACAAACACACAATTTTTATTTGACAATGAAAAATTAATCAATTTTTAGAAAGAAGCTATATATTAGAATTTTTGTCAAAATAATATTTTATATTAATTAAGTCTATCTATAAGGCATCAAGCATAATTTTTTAAAATCCCATTACAATGAACTTGCTTCATTTGAAGAAACTTCAGTTGTAACTAGTTTTTTCTCTTCTCCTTTAAGATTGGATTAACCTCTCAAAGTATCAGGGATAAATGAAGCAGCATGATGTAGTGAAAAGGGTTCTAGACTGGGGAATGAGAGACCTTGGTCCTCCTCTGTCCTGACTACTGTGTGATTGTGGGTGTATAATTCAGCTCCCAAGATCCTCATTTGCCTCATATGCAAAATGAGGGGTTGAACAGGATCACATATTAGCTTTCTTCAATCTCTGTTTATTTTAAGGAAAAGAAGTTTCAAGTGTTGTGGTTTCTTCAGAGAGAGATGCTAATATTCCTGATTATATTTTTTGCAAAAGATAAAGCCAAACTAATTTGGTGAGGTTAAAAACCAGAGCCCCTAAAACCAGACAGCCTGGGCTAGAATCCCAGATCTGTCACTTACTCCCTGGGTGACCTTGGGAAAGTGATTAAACTTCTCTGCTTCTCAGTTTTAGTCTGCAAAGTGAAAATGATGCTAATATGTACCCATGAAGGTAAGGGAAGGGCTATATAGGGTAACACACTTACAGGGCTTGGAACAGAGATTGGCACGTATTCAAACGTTCAACAATACTAGCTCTTATTCCACTGACTTGTCAGAAACCCATGAAACCAGATAAAACATACGTCAAAAACCTGTTTCCCGGATGGTTTTCTTACTGCAAATAGCCTAAGGGAATACACATATTCAAATTTAGGACAACTTACAAACATCTCACATGTTGGGTCAGTCCTTTTTTAAAGTCCTGCTGCCAGATGCTTCAACTTTTTTCCTCTTTGTAAAATTCTAGAAGAATTACTTCTACATTTTGCCACTTGTACAGGTTCTACTAATAAAATCAAGAAAAACTCATGCACATCAAAATGCTAGACATGTAATAATTAGTTTTATGAACAGACACGGTTTAGTAGATATAGAACATTACTCTTGCAGTCAGCTTATTAATATTTTGAATAACATTAAGGGAATTAATTGGTACACAATTGATTTACTAGAAAGTAATGATATCCGATAGCATCACATTAATAGATAAGCAAGCATAAGTTTAATTAGGTAAAAAAGAGGAATTTGATGCAAATTTTTCTACAAATTACTAAACTGTATACAAAGGCATCAAATAAGGATTTCAGGCTGGAAACAAAAGTTAATTATGATACATAAGAAAAGTTTATCTTAAATCAAATTCTTATTCACTCTTTTGCTTCAGTATTTCAAGTGGAATATTTGGAAATTACATGTGTATCGGCACATGAATCATGTTAACCTCAATCTAGAGATGATAAGCAAATCACAGGAAGTCCACAGTACTAAGATCATCTGAAGAAACATCAAATAAATAAAGGCTGAAGCCTGCGGCATCTCAACTTTTTCCCAATTTCTAGACCTTTTCTTCTTTCCTACAATTTCTCAAAATTAATTCCTTGAACTGCACTCTGGAATCACACGAGGGAGACGAAGATGAGACTCACTGCAAACTCAAGTTCAGCTACTTTTTAAAGAAATAGTGTGGTTCAAGTGAGGCCCAAGTTAGAGAAGCGGGGGCTGATGAAGTGTACCTAATCAAGTGGCTTAGTGGCTTCACTGGCCAAAGTGGTCCGATTCACAGATCTTTGTTGCAATCCTAAGCTGAAGTCATCTCAGGGAAAGGTAATAAGGTCATCACATTAGGACAGCAGCATGATAGTTTGGATGAAATTCTTTATTTGGGCATTCTGGAACATGTGCCCCAAACCATGTGACTATGGGACCTATTCTTAAGTAAAAGTAGGCATGGAAAAATGAGAGAGGAGAAGAGAACTAAATGTCATCGAAACATCAGATACTAGGCTAGGAAGTGTACATTCATCTTATTTTGTCTTCACTTTGTAGCTAAGAAAACTTAAAAAGGAAAGGAAGGAGAAATATATTCATACTTAGATATTGCTGACTTTGAAACCTATGTACCCTCTTTCTACTGCACTATGCTGTATCTCTTTATTTGTCTTAAACAATTCTTATCTGTTTCCAAAAATATGTCGTTTGTATATCCAGCTTCTACTTGCTTCTGTAGATAATGGCAGAAATTGGCTCAGAATCTGATTAGGAGGCGTAGGAAGAACTTGACTGTGGCTGACATTCCCAGACAGAGACAGCATCAAGGGTACCATTCTTTTCTGGGTGATGTGCCTCTCCATTGTCTTGTTCATGGCTATATCCTCAGTTCCTAGAGGAATACCTGATGGAACACTCAATCTATTCTTTGAAAAGATAGATTATTTTTGTTTTCCAATTCCTTTACAGGTCTCGGAGATGTCAAGTTTATCTGCTTTCAAGACCGTCAGTGGCATAGTGAATGCTTTAACTGTGGGAAGTGCTCTGTCTCCTTGGTGGGCGAAGGTTTCCTGACTCAGAATGAGAAAATATTCTGCCGCAAATGTGGCTCTAGGGTAGACACCAGCATCTAGAAGGAGCAGTCTTTCTGCTCCTGAAATCTGCTGTCCTTTGTTGTCACTAAATCCAGAACACAGTTGAAGCTGTATTTTTTATTTACATTTTAGAAAATGTTAACATAGAGTTTATAGAGACAGAGTTTTTACACACATTCTGATTGAACTGTTGTCTAAGGGTACAAAAAACACAGTCTAACAGAAATGAATATATATCAAATCATAAAGGCACTTCTTGCAAAACACTGCACTCTGCTGTTAGAAACATAGGAAAATATCTTTTCATAATCAAGTATATGACCTAAGAGTCACAGATGTAACTACTGAAGGATGATGTTTTTTAAACCTACAGAGTAAAAGAAAACTGGGAAATCAAATTGAGAAGTTTACATAAGATAAATGACTGCATTCCTAGCTAGCTGATTATATATAATATGATAGATTGGCTATGAATTGTAGAAGAACAAAATTGATCAGGGAAAATTGATGAGCAATTATCACACAATTATCACCTTTTAGAATTGTGTCATTTTACAATTATTCTTTTATTGTTCATGCATAGTGATTTTAGAATTGAAAAGCAAAGCAGCAATTTGCCCTCATATATACTGCTTCCATAGCGGGTATGTTCCTGTGTTTAATCAATGGAATTTGAGAATAGTGAACACGATGGCTCTCATACTCCACATAGGTATGAAGGGGATCATTTCTACCGAGGGATATCCAAAACGTGGGTTTCAACACATTTTGTATGAAATGTATTTTCAAAGCTCACAATTATTTTTCTAAATGCTTGCAGAATCCATGAAATAAAAGTCTATTCTTTCAAGTGGAGCTCACCAGGATAATCTTTGTCCCCAAAGGCAAACCTTTAAAGTAAATAGATCATTAAATCATCACTTGTGGAAATGAGTTTTAGGGAAGGGATTGAGTGTTGGAACATGACTTTCATCCAGATATCTAAAGATATAATAGAATGCATAATTAGCGCTGTGCCTCATGCATTTCACCTTCTAAAATTGCATAGATGATTAATGGGCAGACATAAAAGTGGGCTTTAAAGAAATCTAGCAATAATAAGAGCTGAAAAAAGAATAATTCACTGCTGATAATTCAGGACTTGCAAAACAGCACTATAGAATATTGTGGGCTGTAGAGGAGCCCTTACCACTGTCCTTCCATACTTGCGTCACCCACCTTACCCCAAGCCAATCTTGCCCCCAGTGTCAATCTGTTGCATGACCAGGAGGTGCACTCTTAACCCCAAGCAGGCAGGCGAGAGATAAGTCAGTGTTTATTATCACAAAGAAAGTAACAGCTTTAGTGAAAAGTTTCTCTTTCATCACCATATGTTTATCTTTATATAAGTTTTCAATTGATCATGAGCCCTAGCTTCTCCTGGACAATATTTTCCACATTATTTGGGAAAGCAACCTCTGCTCTCCATAGTCAACCATCACATTTGATTATGGTATCTCTTGGGTGAGGCAGAGAAATCAGGAGAAGAAACCCCACATAGACATAACGTATCTGTAAGTGTCTACTCTCAGATTGCTGCATAGCATTAAAGGTTCTGATTGAAATGTAATTATAGGCTATCACTGATTACAATGACTAAAATAGCATCACAGAATATTCAATTAAAATTGGCATAGAAACAATTTTTGAAGTAGTTTAAAATGCAAGTACATTCAGAGATGTTAACAATTTAGAGATACTAATAAAAGCTCAGACTACATAGACCATTTGAAAACTATAATTGTATTTTCAGATTAACAATGCAAAAGTATTTTCTCATATTCACATTGTAAAATGCAGACAAAATTATGAATGATTTTCTGTATTATAGGAAATTGCACAGGTAGAACTAAATATGCCAATTGTTCTAATCTTGAAAATAATAGAGCATTGCACATATAGAAAATCAAGCTACTTAAAGTCTGGAAAGATATATAATGTGTAGCATTTTTTCTTAATTAATTTTAAATAAATATACTCCATGTACAGTTTTCTTAGTTAAACGTTTAGGCATTTTACTATGTGAAGGCATGAGTATGAACATGATCAGGCTTTTATTCAATCTTTACAAACAAAATTCAGAGTCATTTATTTAAGAAAATTTTATTTAAGAGATCTTATTAGTGTTTGATAAGTATAGCTAAGCAAATATACTTTCACATATAAGTAGCTCTATGTTTAGAAAATGACATAAACATCAAACACATACTAAACGTGTACTATGCCAAAGTAAGAGCTCATGCTGTTGTGGTTCTAAGAGGTGGGTAGGAGGTTAGATCTGGGCATGGAAATATAGCAGTGCCCAAAGCAAAGGTCCTTTTCAGTAGCTAAAACAAAGCACCAATGTAGATATAGCACGCATATGCAAAACAAACTAGAATGATCTCATTAGACTGACATACACACAAAGGAAAATTATATTATTGCTTTATGTGACTTATATAGTAAAGAGAAGGGATCTCTTAATAGACCTATCCAACGATGGAATGGGCTGCCTGATGAAGCAGTGGACTCCCAGTAATTCAAGGATGGCATCTGTGCAGGCAGGAAAGTAGTTAAAAGCAAACCCCCTGTGCTAATGACACCCAGATGGCTTGGAAGTAGCAGAGAGACTGTGCACAGAGCAGGAGGAAATGAAGTTGCTAAAAGAAAAAGGGTTAGGGGAAGGGAGAATATTAACTCAGGATAAAACGTATATACAACAGGTCATAGAAAGTTACCAACTGTTCTTACATAAAGGAGGAAAAGAATTATGACCATGTGTGAGGGGAATTATGCTAATGATTCTGTGTGGAATAGACCAAAGAGGGCAAGGTTCCAAGGGTTAGGTTTCTTACTGCAGTAATATGTTTGGTTAGTGGCCACAGAAGTGAAAGGAAAGAAGAGAGAAAAGGTAATGATGACCAAGAGCTATATTTATTGGTAGGTGAGTATACAAGTCAACAAGTCAAAAGAGTTTATGTTGTCATTTTTGGGATTGAAGAAGACAAAGAAACAAAAAACTTGCTTCCATGATAGTAAGTAGGATGCCTCAAGGTTCAATTGTCATTTAGCAAAATTATAAAAATGTTATTTTGGGACAAACTAACTCCATTATTTAAGTGAAATATGGTCATGCTATAATTTTGGGTTCAAAACTTACATAGTTGCTACAATTTTTAAAAAAAACCATATTGAACATTGAAGGAAAAGATTGTCCAACCATTATGAAAAACGCAAAACATTGATCACAAATGAGTAAAAACCACTACAAAATTTAATGTCACAAATAAAATATCAATCCCAAAACATGCCTGATGTTAGTAGCATCGTTCTAGAATTTAAGAGGGGAAAAAAGTACTTTGAAATCTACTTAGCATATTGATAATAGCTCATCTTTTAAATAATAAAATGATTGTTATATGTTTTTATATATTTAATTGAGCACATGAATAATTCTCTAATGCATCTACAGATAGATGTTTATTATTGCAACATACAATGTTTTGCTTGCTTAAAAATTGGTTATCAGAAGTCTCTTATACTGAATAAATTTGCATTCTGTATAGTATATATTTCTTAAACTGCTTTTAGAGATTTATTTTTTACCTGACGTTGCAGTAACAAGATTAGGGATGGAATAACTTCTGTAGTGTTTCTACTTTTATTACATAAAGGAATATAATGACTTTTACCTCGTCTCATTCATTTACAACACTCAAATTAACTATATATTCAGATATCATTTCAGGGTAATTAAATTCTGTCTGGCCCAAACATATGCCTCTTTTGTTAAACTAAGAGAACCAGGGTTGTATTCTTTCTGTCATAAAATTTTAAAATATTCTAAGCTTAAAAGAATTATTTTGTTTTTACTTATTATTTCTGTGATTCTGAAAATTTTTTTTGTAAAACATAGTCTATTTCAGTTGGATTTTTCTGCTTTGACTGAGATAGTCTTTTGCTGGTTTTTTTTGAAATTTCTGTTGTAACCAGGTATCTCAACCTTAAAATGCATTTTACAGTTTTAAGCCTTGAAACATGTTTTAGAAACTTCTTTCTACCCTTTATCTATCAGGCACTTTCTTGCCCCTTGCACACTTATTTGACCGTATGCTTGCTTAGAAATTCTAGGAGTTAATGTTAAAACAGCTTCACTGCGGGACCGTCTCACTTGGGGGGACTCATGAGAAAAGATAGTTGATCCTTAACCTGACTGCAACTGAGATAATACCAACCAGACTTCTGGAGGAATCACCACCCAAGATAAGCCATCAAGACTCACCCTGTGCTATGCCCACGTGTTTCTCCATATCTAGTTTCTCCTTTTAAACCCTTGCACTCAACCTACAAGTTGGAAATGGTTTCTCTGAGGCATAAGCCTGGCAATTTCCCCATCTGCTGGCTTTTGGAATAAAATCACCTTCCTTTCACTGCATCTCATTCTTGTTTATTTTGATGTACAAGCTAAGAGCAGCCGAGCTTGCATCAGATACACTATATTCAAGGAATTGTTAAACTCTTGGTGTTTTTATTCTTTTATTCTATCTAAAGTAAAATCTGTGTATACTCATGAATGTTTTATGCTCATGAAACTTTAGCTAATCCACACTATAAGCATCAGTTAGTTTCTCTCCAGAACTCCTTAGCTACTGAATTCATTTAATGTCAGAATATTTCCCACAAAGAAATATTTGGAAGAACACCCTCACCAAACATTTCTATTTCATTCTTTTTTAAATCACATGGCTTTGAAGGTTAATGGAATTCTTATATTCAAAACATAAACTTTTGGTCTTGAAATAGTGTTCTATCAGTGACAAAGCCAGACTATCAATAGAAATGTTATTTGCTAGCATATTATCTTTATCCTGAACCTTCCCCAGGAGCATTAAGTCTTTATATCTTTATTATCCTACTAGAAACATTCCAAGGTCAGATGGGGTCACCAAAAAAGTATGGAAACATTGAGTTCCTTTTTTCAGGGAGAGGTAAATGAGACCTATTAAGACCCAGAAAAGTATGCCACCAGGATAGATTTAGCCTTAAAGTTTCTCAGAAATGACTGAATCTGGATTGT